TTTCTATCTTTTCTCACTCCGTCCGTCGAGACCAGCCGTCATTTTTGCTTTCCAATCGGAGCCGAGGAACGCTGGAGTGGTTCAAAATGACCATGTACAAGAGCAAGCGTCGCAACCATCGCTGTGAGTTTTCTTTCTTTTTTTTTTTTTAATGGCATTTTTGTGAGATAATGAGTGCGCGCCCGTGTTGAGCTGTCAATCACACGGGATGTGTGGTGACATAATTTTATATTGTGAAATAAATAACTATTATACATTTTAACGTAAGAATAAGTGAACCATTGTTCATGTAAAAATGTCAAATACATTTCACTTTTTAGTATTAGTCAACTACTGTACTGTTCAATATTAAGAGTAAACGTTTCAATGGATCTCATTTTTTAATATCATGCAAATATAAAATGCAAAATAAACACAAATTTCATCTTAAATAACTTGCATAACAACTGCAAATTTAAGTGAACAGTTTTTAATACTTTCATACAAGAGTAAGTTAACCACTGTCAATAAAATGTAAGGCGTCATTTTTTTAACAGTTGCTGTCATACAAGTGTAAAAATAAGCAAACCGTTGTTAATTTAAAAATGATAGTTTTGTCTTTGGTTTGTTTTTTTATTGGGGAAAATTAAATGACCCAAATTGGAATTCTCACTATGTTGTGTGTGTGTGCTCCCTCTAGTGGTACATACAATAATTTCTGCCAAAATACTGTTCGTTTTTGTTCAGTTTTTAAGTACCTGTATATGTTGCATTTAATCTTCCAGAAGTTTTTGTTTTTCAATGTTTACTTGGGACAAATTTTATTTTTTGTTCAATATGTGTACCCCTCCCACTACCCGAAGACAGCTGGGATAGGCTCCCTCATGCCCGCGACCCTCGCGTGGATAAGCGGCTCGGATAATGGATGGACGTTGTAATGAAATCATTTCATAGTGTGAGGGGTTTTTTTTTAATTATTATTATTTTTCTATTGTTTACGGTCTACTTGGTGTAAAAGGTTTGAGCACCACTGCTGTGAATACAAACAAAATATGGACAAAGTGAAGCGCTATGAGTACTTTCCGGATGCACCGTAGTCGTTGCTAGGTTACTGAAGTAAACAATCTGAATATTATTAGCATAAACAAACAAATATTTGTATCTCCAACGACTTGTTTTCCCTCCCCGCTCTGTCGATGTTTATCCCAACAGCCGAAAAATCGTTCTGCTTTTCACAGTTGATCCTCGCTGGATTTTTGCGGCTCACAAAAGCGGCCGCCGCGTCTTATCTGCGCTGAAGGGGCCGTGGATTATGAGCTGATCCCTCGGAGGATGCACACGGCGAGGGGGGGGGGGGGGGGGGGGGGGGGGGAGTTGGCCGACGTGCCGTTTGAGCTTGATAGGAAAATGAAGCAGCCATAAAGTCCTATCAGCTCAGTTCTAAATTTCCTCACAAATGCCACCAAGTCGAAGTTGACTCTGAAACCGACACGTAACGCACCCCAAAAAATAATCACCGTGCTGTCGAACCGTGCTTCGAATGAATAATCCATTTCAAACGACAACTAAACAAAGCAAATGTCACTCTGTTTTTGTTCAAACGTCAGCTTTCATGTCAGCTGCTGCCCGTTTAGGCAGCAAAGAAATCATTTGCCTTGCGCCTAATAGTGACAGCTTCAGACTCTCCATTGTAAGCTCTTTGAGTTATGGAACGTTGTGGAAATGTTTCACGGTGGTGATGACTTCTTTGTTGGTGCTTGGCACGGTGAAGAGGCTGGTGCCAACCCCGACTGCGTATCCAAACAAAATGTTGACAGCGGTAGCGTTTGATGTTTTTGCGCCTCGAACCGCTCCTTTGAAATGGAGATGCGGCCCCCCTACCCGACACCCCGACGGGAAGGTTGCCTCCTGTCACCTTGATATGCTCTCCCCGGCAGGGGGGCGGGGCCTTTTGCCTGCCGGAACTATCCTGTTGCTAGCGTCAGGTAAACAAAGCGATCTCGTTTTCTCGTCCTTCCAATCTTGGCAGTTTGTTGTTGCGGGTATCACAATCGTGAGGACAGATGCATTTTTTTGGGGGGGGGGGGGGGTTGATTGATTTATCATTAACCCTTTCAGGCACAGCGGTTACCACAGTGGACATCTTATCAGGTTACAGGGTGCATGAAAATGAAAATTCTGTTTTGCATCAGAGTTCACTCTACAGCGGTTTACAGTCTTGCCATGGAAACGTCTCAAAACCGCCCCCCCCCCCAATTTTTTTTTTTTAAAGGCCATCGTCGTCATTTCTCCTCAACACGAGTGCCCGCAACAGAAGGTGGAGACGACATTCTCCCAATCCGACACGCAGCGAGCGGAATCATCGCGGCGGAAACGAGCTTCCGGCGACCTCTCCCAGCGGCGTCTCTCCAGAGAGAGACGGGATTAAAACTCAAGCTGCGTGTCCTCTCCCTGCGCTAATTTCATGCACGACCAAAATTGATAGTAGTCGTCACCGTTCAAGTCCAGGGAAAAGCCAAAAAAAAGATTTAAAATTTCGATGTAAAGTAAGTAAAATGCTTAGTTTTGAATTCGCCTTATTGCAATGTCTCCTACTCTCTTGAATGCTGCCGATACCAACAACCGATACCGATAAGGCAAAAAATAAAATAAAATAAATAATCCAGCACTCCTTGCAAGTATTTGGCAATAAACTGCAGCGCGGACGCAAATTGTCATGTCGGTCAGAAAGAAAGGAAAGTATTTGTTCACAATTATTCGTCATTGTGTTCATTGAAATGTTCTCGAAAGGTATCGGAAGTATTGATACTCTAAGTGAATAACGGTGATCTGGAGAAAAAGGTGATATCCAATCGCCGCATTTTGATATACATCGAGCATTACAGGTTTCTTGATGTCGGTAATGTCATTGGGCCGTATGTGACGTACACACCCATACTTTTCCCACCCCTTCCTTAATGTCTGCCACGGACGTTCGCATGACGAATTCATTTCAGCCACCATCCAACTCGCATCTCACGCCAGCAGAACTCGACGTGCGAGGCGGGTTTTAAACGAATTCAGCTTGGAAGCTGTGACATATGGCGACATATTGCGACATAACGCGCGGGGAATCTGGCGGGTTGGCAGAGCACTCAAGTTAAAGCGCAAAGGGGACGGGTGATGGAGGGGCGGGGGTGTAATCTTGTGAGATGGATTCCAAACACTCCGCATCGTGCACCGCAATCTCGTCGACTGTCTTCCCACGGGAAGGCGGGTCGGCTGCGGGGTGGCGGCGATGGATGGTCTTAACAGCCTGCGGCGTAACAGCAGAGCGCTCTCGGGTCAGTCCAAGGTCGGAGAGGGAGAGACAGGACCACTCCGCCTGGCGCAGCGAAATAACTTGTTTGTATTCGCCGAACGTTGCAAGGCGATCGATGGCGCGCCCCTTTGCGAGATGACTCGTTCATCAGCAGCCCAAAATCGTTATGACTTATTCATGGGGAGTTTTCGCCGTGACAACTGGCGTCCCCGAATGTTTCTCCTCCCCGTTGTGAGTCGACGTCAGGTAGAAACACTGAACCCCACGATATTGCGCTTTTTCCACGCTGTTCACGCATGTCAGTCGGTAGCATTTCACATGACAATTCAGCATTCACCCTTTCATGCAGTCCATAACCTGATAGCATGAAAGGGTTACGCTAAGCTAAGCTAACGGTTTGGTTCGCGTTTACCCGTCAATTGCATTCTTTCAATCGGGATAGGTGTGTGGAGAGTCTGGTACTGCCCGCTCTGTGAATTTCCAGCTTGGACCCAATCTAAATGATGCACACCCACCAGTAGATGGCAGCGATTGCACGTTTTTTTTTTTGGAAGGACAGCGGTTAGCCACGTCGGCGCAGTGTGGCAAAGGATAGCTTAGCATTTAGCTTCTCCCGGTAGTTCCCGAGAGGATGGGCAACTGTTTCGCCGTAGATGGCAGGCAGCTTTTGCAGCTCTTTGGTCTGACGAGTGCCGATGATGCCATCAAGTTCAAGGTCATCGTCATTGTCGAATATCATCAGCAAGTATTATCGCAATTTGACGTGAAAATCCACGTGATGATTTTTGATGTTTCGATAGTGATCTCATTTCAGGATTAAAGCCTCCCTCTCATTTTTGCCGACCACTTGCGACATGATTTTGATGTTGGTGGAACTTGGAAGGATACGTATTTTGAGTGTCACAGCCCTATTCCAAGCATTTTATTTTATTTATTTTTTTGCCTTCGCTGTGTAATGCGGGCATCCAAGTTTGATCATCGGCTCGGAGTTTTAGTTAGTTTTCCTTCCAAGTGCCGGCGCTCTCTGACTCGGCATCCGCCGCTTTCATTTCCCGTTGATTTGGCCGCGACTGGCTGCCTCCCAGGAGCCGCAAAGTAAACGGACCTCTCGACGACCTTTGCCCGACGCGGCGAGAAACAATTCCGCGTCAGTCAAGCCGTGTGGTCGCGCAACTTTTCCCTCAAGTAGTCCCCCCCCCCACCCCCCCAATGCTTGCGAGGGCGTCAGATGTTTTCTCTTTTAACGCCGGCTGCTTTGAGCCCCGACGGCGTCCCATCGCCGTATCATGAAGCGACGCGCCGTCGGAACGTCATTAGCATTGTTTTTGGTGACAAAGTCACTTTCTTGTTGCACTTCAGTGTCAGGAATATTTGTTTTTTTTTCACCATTGAATTATTCATACGGCTTATTGCATCGGAAGACTTTTTGGAGTGCAGATTGGATTCATCAAGTCCTGAAGACGTCATGACTTGATGAATCCAATCTGCTCAAATGGATTACTAAGTAGTCGAAGAGTCACAGCTTGGTACACGATCGCGATTTGGTTCACATTGGCTACGTGAAGAGAACAAAACTCAACGATGAGAAGGCGCTGACGCTCACTGAAGTCAAGACGTTAACGGAAATGATGAAGGGATTGCACAATGAATACAGTTGGAAAGTGATCAATGATCTGATTTATTCTTGTGCGTCTATATATGTGTGTGTGTGCGTTTTCAGACATCAACATGGCCGGCGAGCCGAAGCCTTACCGACCCAAAGGCGTCTCCAAGAGGCCCCTCTCGGCAGTCTACAGGTATGATCACCGTTAATGCACGCCATTTCCTTGTCGTCGTCTGATTATGTCGATCGGCTGGCGGGCAACGAGCGGCCCGTTGCGGAATTATCATGACATTCGTTATTAATCGTGAAATGAATCATTCAAAAGATTTTTTTTTTTAGCATTCAAATTTTTATTTTATTTTTTTTTACTGATTCGTATTATCTTTATATTTGGTTGTCATATTTAAATAAATAAACTTTTTTTTTTTTAATTTTTTTTTTTAAGGTCCTCTCTAAAATGATGTGTATGAAGACTCACTTTGTGCATGAAAGGAAAGCGCTAATGCATGGCAAAGCTGTTATTGGACCTTGGGAAAAGTAGCCATCTTTTTTCTCTCTCTCTCTCTTTCGCAGTGGTTACGAGTTTGACTATGAGTACTACAGAGATGACTTCTACGCCAGGTACGTTTCACCATGTCGCTAACTTTGCTACTAACCCAGCTCAATATCGCCGATATTCAGTGACCGACCTGCCGTCGATGTAAAATCCATCGAAACAACTGTTTTAGAGCCTCTGAGACCGTTCTCACTCCCATCGCTGCAACAATTTATAAAGTGCAGTATTATAGATCGCCATTTTCATTGATTAAAAAAAAAAAGGAAGAAAAAAAACACTCAGGAAAAAGTGTGTGTTGTTTTTTTGGGGATAGTTTGGAACGGATTAACCGCATTCCCATCCAGTTCACTGGTGCAAGATGATTTGCAATGAATTTGGACTTTCCTGTATACTTTAAAAGCCCATTAAAAAAAAGATGTGTTTCAAAATGGGCCGCGGTGTAACAGGGACACTTTATTTGAAAGTAAACGGGTCTGATTGGGAAAACATTGGCTTGAATGCAAATCTGCACTGTTGCTAAGCGACTGTTGGAAAGCTGCCCCTAAGGCGGCTGAAAGGAGAAATAATACACCCCCCCCCCCCACACACACACACACACAAACACACACTCACACAATTTAAAACAGATCCCATGTGTCTTAATCAACTCCTTATCACTTTCTGCGGTGAAAATACACAAAGGAGAACGAGTAGCCACTTAAACTCTGTTTAGGAGCCATTGCTCAGCTCGCCACCTTCTCCCGCTCGGTTATTTCATTTGAACCCTTTCATTCGCCCCGGAACCTGATAACATGATAAGCCGTCCACTGTAGCTGTCCCTCAAAGGGGTTCAACTTGACGGGTGGACAGGCACTCCCGAGACAGTACGATGTCATTTTCCAGAAGGTGCCCCTTTTCAGATTGACAACGAACGCAACGATCCTTTTCTTTCCGTTTTGCTGAAGCGAGACAGAGAGAGGGAGCATTCGGGCCCCTCTCGTTGCCGTGGTTGTTTTCCCCCTCGGAAATGTCAAACTTGTCGTGAGCGTCATTCCAAGCGGAAGACGACACCTCCGTTTGACATTGACTTTCCTCTTATCGGCCTCCTCGCTGTTAACCCGAGCGTGAGCACACTTTTTTTTTTTTCCCAGGCACATGATGCTTCACCACATTTAAAAAAAAGGACTCTGCATCTGTCGCTCTGCACGACTAAAATGTAATTTTCTTTTCTTTTTAGGCTTTTCGATTACCACGGCCGAGTGGCGCCACCCCCGCGGGCCGTGATCCCCCTGAAACGCTCCCGGGTTCTGGCCGCCTCCTCCCGCCGCATCAAGACCTCCTTCCCCGCCAAGACGTCGTCGTCCTCCTCGTCCTCGTCCTCCAGACCGCCCACGTCCTCCTCATCCTCTGCTGGCGTCAAACGTACGTACGATGCGACGCTTTCTTGCTTTCTTTGTGCAGCCGCGCCGCGGCTTTAATCGCGCTAATGGAATTTTGGTCCTTTTGAAAAGCTGAAGGCTGAATGCAAATCTTCAAAAGCCTACCTTGTCAGAGAGAAAGAGTTGGGGGGGGGGCATTTTTGAGCCTTACATATTGCTTCACCAATGATTCAGAAAGAAGGAAAAGTGTATTCTTTTTGTTTGACACGACTGTAATCGTGTGCCGCCTCTGGATGCTTTTGACAAATTACTTTGACCCCCAAATGGAAAAGCTAATCCAGTGAGTGGGAAGCGAGGCAGCTAAAAGAGCAATAAATCATATTGCCTGACATCAATCTTTGTGACAGCAGTCTCCTGTATCTGATCTGAATCCAAATATACTCTCGGTCTTCGGTCTAGAAAGTGGACTTACGGCGGCTATGTAAAACCGGGTCATAACACGCCATAGTCTGTGCGCACGAGTGATGTCATAATTACTGCAGAATCGACAGCACACTTTTTCTCTCTGGTGGGTTGTTCTTCCTCGGACATGGTGGTGGTTGCTTAAAGGGGAAGTCAAGTCAAAAATGATCTATGTTCTATGCGGCCCCCGCTAATCTAAGCATGACATTCTGCTGAGTGGGGCCACATAGAACATATGAGTCTGAAGACATTTTCTGACTTGACCTTCCATTTATAAATTAAATACAACTGTAGTGTACTTAGCAAGTGGTTGTTTCGTGTACAGTGGTACCTCTACTTCCGAAATTAATTGGTTCTGGAAGAAATTTCTTAACTGGAAAACTAATGTAAGGAGAGACGCGTTTTCCATGTAAATACCCTAATCCGTTCCAAGCCCCCCCAAATTCAGACATAAATGTTTCTAAAGCATAAAAATGCATCAAAATATGGAACAAATACATGTTACAATTAAATTATTGCACAATAAATGAGAGGATAGAATAAAAATGATGGTCATTTAACTTTTAACTGCGTCCTCATCGTTTTTTTGCCATCTTCAGTCCATGTTCTCTCTCACAAGTGGTTTTTGCCTGGCGTTTTGTAAAGAACTGATCCAAGGACGTCCTTCGAAAATGTCCAAGGCAAACATCAGCATAGTGAGCGATCGCCCGACTGGTGAACACTTTTTTGGGTGATTCACATTTGCGTAAAACTACCGGCCCATACTGTAATTTTACCTTTCGTATCTTGAAATTTATTTCGTAACAACAGGCAATATTTTCCTGTTGAGACGTTTTCTACTTTTCACCACTGGTCAAGTCGTAAGAGGCCCTCGGACAACGTAATAACGTGGAAACAAGAAAGTGTAAATTGGTCATTTTCCGTACCGAGCATCATATAAATCATCCTGCTGCATTTTAACAAGTTGCTTTCCCATTATTCACCGCTTGCTACCTGTGCGGCCAAGGTTGTTCTTTTTCCGCAATAAGCCCTGGTGAGGGATTAAAAAGTCCTCGCCGGAGAGCGTGTGGATATGTTTTATTCATGGCGCACACGTTGGCGATGCGTGAATAACGGCATAAAAAGGAAGTTTGGATTCCGAGCGCATCTCCTCCGCTCAGGAAAACTCTTTTGGGTTTGTTTACCGAGCGCTCGGGCATCTTCTCCGCAGCGCTGACACAATCTGATGGATGTCAAAGACCATTACGGCTTCTTTTTTTTTCGGCTCAGCTGCTCATCTGCGAGAGGCCGCCGTGTCGGCGGCTCTCGCAGGGCGGCAGAAGCAAAAAGGGGGAAAAAAACACACACCGCTCATTAATTTATAGTCCTTAAGCGTGCGATCTGCTGATGGGCTCCGCAATTAAAACGTCTCTCTTCTCCTCGCCAAAGAAAAAAAAAATGACTTGAGTTAGGTGTCGTGAAAAAGAAGAGCGGGATTCAGTAAACAGACGCAGCGGGGAGGCCCAAATTTCTCCTCGTTTGTCACGCAGGAAGTGAACAGGAGAAAATGTGGCATCAAAATCTGCATTCTAAAGAGACTGTACAGAGAAAAAGATTTTTTAATCATCCTACATAGTTAATTTTATTGACACACACTTAAATTTATTAAAACACTCTTTTTAAAGTGTCCCTCGAGACATCCATTTGAAATTTGAAACCACACTTGACAAATGAACAAACAATACAGATGAATAAAGTGTATCAATTAAGTATTTGCGAGGGGGGAATATTTGCACTTTATTTTTTTTTCAAGAATCATCAGGTAAAAGTGCTTCTTAAGTGTCCAATCTCATTGTTCTGACACTTTATACACTTCATTTTGTCATTTGGGTTTGCTTATCCACCACGGCACGTGTTAGCAATAGCCTGCTAGCCGCCATTTGAAAACAGAGCGGCCTAGCTTGTACTGCTTTTTTTTTTTTTTTATGGCTTCTCCATAACTTAGTAAATGATAACCACCAATAAATAAATAAATAAATTATTGAAGAAATTTAGTCAAATGCACAGCCGTCGCACAAACATTAGCCACCCTAGCGTAAACACAAGCTACATGATTGGCATGCTGTCGATATAAAAGTGCAAAGTTGTAAATATTTTACTCCCCGAGCAAGCGCAACCAAAAATGAACACTTTGCTCTAATTAATCTATTTCTGGCGGGGAGGGGGCAGCAAGTTATTTAGGCTTTAGTGATGTTAGCATCTAAGCTAGCTATGGCAGCGTTTTGTTTGTGCCACTACATGTACGTTGTGCGTGAGGCCTTGTCCCTCGTTGCGGTCTTCAGCAGTGAAGACGGAGCAGCTGCAGACCATCAAGAGGGAGCTGACGCAGATCAAGACCAAAATTGACTCCTTGCTCGGACGCCTGGACAAGATTGAGATGCAGCAGCGAGGCGAGTTCGGTGAGAGAACGCCGTCCGCACGGGGGCACGGCCACACACTCCTGCCGGGGATGAAAATCTGCAATATAAGAGAAACCAAACCAAAACATTCTATTGTTTTCTATTTTCCTTTGCAATGTCTTAGCATTAGCAACTAGAATTATTTATTTATTAGAAAGAAAATTGGGGGGTGATTTCTACTCCCAGAGTCTCAGAGGAAGTACGAGGACAACTGCGACTCGCTGCACGACGAGTCGGCATCAGAGGCGGCGGATAACTCCGGCGAGGAGGGCGGCGACGACGCACTGATGGACGCCGAGGCCGGAGAGATGAGCGATGGCGGCGAGGGCGACTACGACGAGGAGGAGCAGGAGGGCGCCCATCATCTGGTATTTTCCCCCACAAAAAAAAACAAAAAAAATGAGGAAGTCTTTGTCTCCTCCTCAAGTAAAAAGGCAGCGAAATTATTCATGGCCCGACATCCGAGAGCGAGGGCGCCCGGACTTGACACATCCTCCCTGACGACCTCGTATCAAACGCACCCACGCAGTTGGCGGCGGCGCGCACACACGCACTTATGCACATGCACTCACTCACAATTGGGGGCAGTGATTGAAGCGCAGGGTCAGAGAACCCAGCGGAGGGTTGGGGTTGCATAAGAGGTTGATTGCAATAGAAGTCAAAGGATCCACAAGAGGCTCAAGTTTCGGCTTCTGACAAACTTCAGTCAATCCTGCCAACTTTGAATGATTAAAAAGAACAAAAATCGGCAAGTGTCTACGTGCTGGCTTTCAAGTCAGCAATGATAGAAATCGGTTTAGGCTCGTTATTCCAAAGCAGAAATCACAGGTTGAGCCGTGCCAGCCTGCCGTCATGCAACATTTATTAGCCATTTAAGCGCACGGCAACGCTAATGAGGGACGTTCTTTACGCACGCTTATTTCTTTATTTTTTGGTACGCTCATGTGAATGGATTGTTTCCGTGTGAAACGGTGGGCTGCTTTTAAACCGGTCTGCTTCTCTTTTTGCAGATAGAAAACCACGTATCCGACATCGACAACTGAGAACGAGGTAAGCGCATTTCTTTGCACTTTCTCAGTTTTGGCAGCTTTTCCAGCTCAGTCCTGCCTGGCATGTTGTGGGGCAATGTGGGACTACAAAAAAAAATTAAAAGTAGAACTCTTCTAATAACGTGCTTGAACAGAATATAAATAATTCAACAGTGTGTGCAACTTGGCCACTGGGGGGCAGTATAACACATTCACGAAGATACAAATGAAGAAGACTTTCACAATAATGAAGTTACTCAGGAAACGACATTAGTCGCTTTTGACAGAGGATAAAGAATATGTGCCCATGAGTATTGTTATATTTTCTGTCTACATGTGTTGCTGAACTGTTTGTGTTCAAAGATATATATATATATATATATATATATATAT